CAGTTTCCTTTGCATCTGAGCTTCACAGACTTCGGTTGGGGGCAAATCAGCTTTTCTATGTCGCCAAGTCTCCACACCACCTTTACAATAGCTGCCTCATATTTCAATCAGGTTACTTTTATTTTACTTAAATAAATCCATTGTTTATTTTATTTACTACATATGAAAAACCAGCATCACTTGTCATAAATAAAAGCTCAATGAAAATAAACAATGTTACAAAATCTTAAGTAAAACAACAACAAACACCAATTCAATTCAACCAGGCAAAGGGCTTGAATAGGTGTTTCTCCAAAGAAGACACACCAGCGGCCGGGGAAGGGGCTCAGCCGGCTGACCGGGGAGCGCAAGCCAAAGCTACAGCGAGGTGTCCCCGCAGACCTGTCAGGGCGGCTGTCACCACAGCACGTGTGGCGACGACGTGGAGACATCGAAACCCCAGCGCACTGCTGGCGGGAATGTAAAATGACGCAGCTGCTGTGAAAAACAGTAGAGTGGTCCCTCCAAATATTAAAAAGAATTACCATATGATGCAGCTATTCCCCTTCTGAGTGTGTACCCAAAGAACTGAGAGCAGGGTGTCGAAGAGATACTTGGCACCCACGCTGGTAGCAACGTCCGCAACAGCCACACGTGGAAGCAGCCCAGAGCCCGGACGGACGGGTGGCTGAGTGTGGTCCAGTCATACAACGGACTGTTATCCCGCCCCAAAAGGCACGGGCATTCTGGCACCTTCCACAGCACAGACGAACCTTGAGGACATTAGGCCAAGTGAAATAAGCCAGGCACAAAAAGACAAATGCGAGGTGATCCCACTTACATGAGGCACTTAGTCAAAATCGTGGAGACAGATGCAAAGCAGGATGGAGGGGAGTCATTGTCTAATAACCTCACTCAGGTACAGAGAGTCAGGTGCACAAAATGAAAATGTACAGAGATGGCTGGTGGTGATGGCTGCACAGCATCGTGACTATTTAAAACCACCGGACACTTAAGATGGTTAAGATAGTAGATTTTATGTTATATGTATTTTGCCACAGTAGGAGAAAATGGGGGGAAGAAGTTTAGCTAGATTCTGTGGCCTCCTCTCTCTCAGCACAGAAAGGGACATTGTTAGAGAGTTGTTAAAGACACACCCAGCTGAGGTGTCCTCCTGGGCATAGTCAGAAGGACTGAAGAAGAGTAGGGAAGGGAAGAACTTTGTCGCTGAGTGGCTATTGGTAACTGTCATGGTGGGTGCCACCTCCAGCTGTGGTGCTCAGGTTGCTGTAAGGACCAATGAAAATTGTACCTCCTTTAACTGTCTGGCGGACCATGTTCTCGATCCCTGGACTTCCTACTGTCAACTAGATCAGAACAGGATATTTTAATTCCAAGGAAATAGATGATAATGAAGTGAACCAAATCCTAACCCAGCGGGAACAGAAGATAATCCTAGCCTTGGGTTTTTCTAATTTTCAAAACACGGAGCACTATCCTTGTGGGTGGCAAATGATCCTCAAAGACAGTGCCTTTCTCTCTCCTGGACTTGGACTCAAGGACTGAGCAGAAAGGAAAGGGGTCTGGGGGATAGGTTAAGCTGATGCTTGAGTTCCATGGCTGTGTAATAAATCACCCAAAATTTAGTGGTGCAAAATGGCCATTCATTATGCCATGGGTTTTGTGGGTCAGAATTCAGACAGGGCACAGTGGGGGAAGCTGGTCCACAGTTGGAAGTTTTGAAGTCTAGGGCCTCCTATCATCTGAGGCTCATTCATTTACATATCAGTGGTTGGCACTGGCTTTTCGCTGGGAGGCCTCAGTTTCTCTCCATGTAGGTTTCTCAATGTGATCTCTCCAAGTGAGGGCTTGTTTGAGCTTCCGCCCAGCATGGTGGCTGTGTCCAGAGGACAAGTGTCCCAAGAGAAAGAGCCAGGTGGAAATTTTAGCACCTTTTATGACTTCACCTGGGAAGTCCTTCTTGTCACATTTGCTGCATTGTTTTTTAGAAGTGGATCAATCAGACTAAAGAGGATGGGGTGCTATTCAACTCCACCTCTTATAGGAAGAGTGTCAAAGGATTTTTGGACATGTGTTAAGTTGACTACAAGTGCCCTGAGACATGAAGAGCAACTCCAGGGCCTCAGACCTGTTTCTCTTCCTTCCCCCATGTGGCCTGTGACTCTCTGCCATGTCCTGGGTTCCCAGGAAAGGCCACCTCCAATCCAATCCAAGCTGATGGGGTAGGTGGTGGCCCCGAGGGAACTGCCCGATGACACTGGGAGCACTGCCCCTCCTTGTCGTCCTTCCCTCTGGTCAGGGAACTTTGCTAAGGGAGAGACTATAAGGGCTTCTTGGTGTCCTCAGAAGTCAGCAGTCCCTAGGAAGCATTCATTCATTCACCCATTATTTATTCATGCACCTACAAATCTTTTGTGACTACTTCCTATGTCCCCAAGGACAGTTCTCAGCACAGATGGCCTTGGTAAAGACAAACTAGACAAGCCCTCATCTTCTGGGCATGCTCCATGCAGAAAGCAGGTCCCAGGTGAGCTGGGACTGGGAAGGAGAAGAACCTGTCCCTCCCTGAAGCCACAACCTCTGTGAAGGGGGCTCCAGCAAGTCCCAGCCACCGTAGGACCACTAATGCTGCTTGGTTGACTTTGCTCCCAGGCCAATGCCCACACCCACTGGCTCTGAGCTCCTGGGAGACGAGTGTAAAGTACACCCAGGGCCCAGGCAGGCAGGTCTTGTGCAAGGAAGGGTAGGGTGTCATTAGGTGAACAGTGAGAAATGCCGCATTCCCTTAGCCCCTGAGATGAAAGATTGCAGCCTTTCTGCTCGGCCTTTCATCTTTCCTATTCCTCCAGGGGTGGGGAGCTGCAGGACCTGGGGCAGCAAAGCAGCGGGCAGGGTGTGAGTGCGCGGGTGTGCCTGTGTCTGTGTGTTCGTGTGTCTGTGTGTTCGTGTGTGTGTGTGTGTGTGTGTGTGTGTTAGCGTGGCCTCCCGGCAGCTGTCCCGGCCCCCACCTCACTGCACCCCGCCTGGCGCTAGATCCCCGCCCCTCGCTGTGCTGGGTGCTCTCTGGGCCCGCTCCCCCCTCGCCTAGGAGGAGACCCCCGGTGCTCCCGGGGTTCAAAGGCCCCGCGCCGCAGCTCCAGCCCCTCCGGGGGGCGGGGAGGCGAGGGGGTGGTGCGGGAGCCAGAAAAGCCTGAGCCCAGAGCCGGCCAGCCCTGTGCAGGGATGGGTAGCGTGCTCTGAAGTTTGTGACCGCGGCAGCCAACTCCTGGCGGGAGCTGGGACCAAGCGACTGAGCGGCCGCCTGGAGCCCCACAGCTGGAGGGTGAGGCCGGCTGCTCGCGGCCCCAGAGCCCTTCCGGGGCCACAGGAGTGCGTCCTCCAGGCCCGGTGCTCCCGCGCCTGATCGGGGTTCATGGAGCTGGGGCTGTGGCTCCTTTTTGGGCTCACAGTGACCTCTGCCACAGGTAAGAGGGAGGGGCGGGGCGCCTCTTCTGGCGGGAGCGCACACAAAAGGACCCTGGTGTGGGGGGCGTGGGGAAGGCTGCATTACGGGGAGCAGCCTCTTGCCTGGGCTGGCCATCCCTGGAGGCGCCTGGGGGAGGGCTGGGGCCAGAAGCGGGTCATATGGACTACCCCAGGAGCTCTGGAGGTTGCATGTAGCCCACGCGCAGACTGGAGACCTGTGGCCTGAGCCGACTTGGTCAGTTTTTCATGAAATTGGGAACTTTTCAATAAGTTTGCAAACCCTTCAGAAACTGTGCAAAATGATTGCAAAGTTTTGAGAAAGCGTGCAAAATGCTTGCAAATTTCCAACGGGTGCAAATAGCTTGCAGACTTTGCAGAAAGTGAAAATAGCTTGCAAGCTTTCCACCAAGTTTCTGCAAACTTTTCAGAAACTGGGCACATAGCTTTGCAAACTTTTTAGAACATTTGGCATAGCTTGGAGACTTTCTAGAAAATGCAACTAGCTTGCAAACTTTGCAGAAATTTTGGTGGTCTCCTTCTGCCAGGATTTTGGGGGGGGTGGCTGGGTGGCATGCATACTCAGGAGCCCCTCAATCTTCCTCCTGCAGGATTGGTGCCTTGTGCCCAGCCTGGGGAAGCTGGTGGGAGCAGCGTACCCCAGACCCACCCTGCAGCCAGATCTGAGGGGGACATTGGGGAGACTGTGGTCACCACCGCAGCACAGGGTCCAAGTCCCCACAGCCCTGGGCAGAAGCAGGGACCAGGTTGGTTTGGGGAGCAGGCGGCTGAGGGGAGCCCTGTGCGTCACCGAGCCAGACGCTGCACGTGTTTCACCTACAAGGACAAGGAGTGCGTCTACTATTGCCACCTGGACATCATCTGGATCAACACCCCTGAGTAAGTGAGCCCAGGCAGGTGGGGATGTGCCTAAGAGGGTGGGGGTTTCCCATGCTAGGCCATAGCCTCACACTCCCAGAGGACCTGGTCCCACCCCAGCCCCATCAGTCCAGAGCCTTCCCTGGTCCAGATTCAGCTCTTGCTGGGTCTTTTGCCAGCCCAGGTTCCATCTGCAGGTCAGGGTGTGACCCCCATCCCCTTGGAGGGCCTGGTCCAGGAGAAACCCAATCCCAGAGTTTCTGATCCGGTGGAAGGGGGAGCCCTCCCTCTCAGTGAAATGAGCCAGCCAGAGGGATTAGATACCTGAGAAGTCCCTCTGAGATGGAGGAAGCCCCAAAGTTCCCTCCTGCCCCAGGGGCTAAGGGGGCCATCCCCCCTCCTGACCCTGCCAGGCTCCAAGGAGTTTCAAATTCCTTGAGAGCAGCCTGTCACCAGGGAACAGGGAACATGGGGGTGGGCTTGGCAGGGCCTGGTGGAACCTGCCGATCAGGGTGAAATTCCACAGGTGCCAGGCTCCTTTCCTCCCAGGGGTCACGGGTCCTCCTACAGGCTAGCTCCTGTCACCCACTGTCACCCACAGCCTCCCTAAGGACTCCTCTCCAGTCCCTAAGGACTCTCTCAGGACTGAGAGAGTACTGCCTGAGTTGTCCTGGGTCTGCCTGGCTGTGATGCCAACCCTCTCTCAGGCCATGGACAGTGCTCTGCTGTAGGAGGGGCTGCTGGCTTCCCAGCTCACCCCCTCGATTCAGGAACCCCTTCTGCAGAGGCACCGTCCTGCAAACAGCAAAGAGGGCTTGACTCTGCTCTGGTGACCAGCCTCCTAGGCTTTGTCCTTCCCATCTCTAAAATCTGGGGCTTAGACCAGATTCTCCACATTTCGTACCCTGGGTGTTCTTGGGATCTCTTGGGACTCCCAGAGCCCTGCTAAGGATTCTTGTAGAGGAGCTGGTGTGAACAGGAACCCTGGGCCTGGAAAGGAAACTTTGTCACCGTATTGGGAGCCACCTTGATTCATGTGCCTCATGGTTTCCTCCATCCCCAAGCCAAGTAACCTCTGAGCACGCTGGGTAACACCTCTGACGGCCTCACTTCCCACCTTGTTCCTTGGACACCTGGAGAAAGAAGTGCAAAGCAGGGTAAACCAATGGCCGCATGCCTTTCAAACCAGGTGACTTCACAGTGAGACCTCTAATGACATTTAGATAGATCTGGAAAGTCACCCAGTATGCCAGAATGGCAGGCAGGTGACAGGCAGCTTCACCCAGCAACCCGGACACAGGCACAGGGTCCCGGGCACAGAACCCCCACCCTCGGTTTGAGGCACAGGGTCCGGGGCACAGAACCTCCACCCTCAGTTTGAAGCACAGGGTCCCGGGCACAGAACCCCCACCCTCAGTTTGAGGCACAGGGTCCGGGGCACAGAACCATCCACCCTCGGTTTGGGGCACAGGGTCCCGGGCACAGAACCCCCACCCTCGGTTTGAGGCGCAGGGTCCCGGGCACAGAACCCCCGCCCTCGGTTTGATGCTCTGTTGCTGCTGTCTTGAAAGTCTTAATACTTTCTGAACCAGAGGGTCCGTGCTTGCATTTCATCCTGGGCCCCGTGAATGATGTGGCCGACCCTGATGCTGAATGGGCCTGCCGGGCTGTGCATGCTCAGGCTCCTACACACAGTCAGTCCACAGCAGCCTGCCCCATTAGCTTTCCGTTTATGGGGAAGATGCAGCGATACGTGGTCTGGAGGGGTTCCTAGGCAAGGCTGCCATCAATTGCCTCCAGGTCACCTTTCCTTATGGCCCCCAGCACCCCGACACTTGTCACGATTCTTATCCTGCTGTCATTGTGATCTGACCAAGTTAGCCTCACAGCCCCAGCGCCCAGGGAGGTGACCCGCGGACCGTCTTGCCTTGGCAAGAATCCCAAGCTGTGGATCAGTCTAGAGAAAGAAGGAAGCCAACAGGGTTAGGGGCAGGGGCCGTGGGCAGAGGAGGACGGCAGCGGAGGAAGAGAGAATTCGGAGGCCGCCGAGGCCCTCTGCCCGTTCCCAAGCCCCCGCACGGGCTGGGGGAACCCATGGCCTGAAGTGCACCGGGGGCCCGGCCAGCGCCCCCCGGGGACCCTGCCTCGGGATTCCGAGCCGTCCCGCTTGCCCCAGGTGGAGCCGTGGGCCTTTGACTTTTCCCAGGACAGTCGACCTGCCGACGGCGCCTCGCCGTATGATTTACACCTTCCTCTCTTCCCTGACCCTGGCTCATTTTAAACACTAGGCAAGGGATTAAATATGGTGTTTGGGAGTCTCGTGAGCTGCTCAGGAAACAAAAATGACAATAGCCAGACTTGAGGTTCTGAAGCTAGACAAGCAAAATTATTTTTATGAGGAAGGTTTTCGGACGGTCTTTCCCTTCCTCCCTTTCCCCCTCCTCCCCCCTCCTTTCTTCTTTCCTTGCTTCCTTCCTTCCCCAAATTCTCCGTTGATATGTAGACCAGGCCACTTGTTATCTTTAAAACATCTCAGACAAGTTGCAATGTGAGAAAATGGGCTGTAGGGTCAGAAAGGGGGTGTTTGGAGAAATGAGAGTCTGAAAAGGGACTCAGCTGCGCTGAAGGAGCAGCGTGGGCACAACCGGGTTCTCCAGGCGCCCTCGGAGCCCCGTCTCTCTCAGCTGTCGCCCCCTCTCCTTTATCGACCCCCCAGGTCTCTAGGAACTTCTCCAGGGTGGGATTTCCTCCCTGCCCTGCAGCTGGCTGCTCTGAGGACCCAGAGGGTCTTGATCCTCATGCCTAAATAAGAGTCTTGGGCTTTGGGTGTCCTTCCTCCTACTGCCCATTGAGTCTGGGAGATGGACACAACCATCTACTTTATCTTGGAAGGACGTTTGCAAGGTTGCGGGCTCTCTGTGAGTGTGGTCCTTTGTGCCACCATTAAGGACCTGAAAGCCACAGGAGGGATGCTGGGGTTTCTGCTGAGACCTGCTCTGCTGCTCGTGTGGCGTTAACGTCTGGTTCAGGCACGAGAGACCATTTACTCCCCGAAGTATCTTCCAGGTGTGAAGCGGGAGGTTCTCCGGTTCTCCTGGGTTTTCCCACATGCTTAGCTCTTCTGGACACGCAGCACGCAGCACGTGAGCTCGGGTTAAGTCCTGCCACCTGGTGATGGTTCTTGGCTTTGCTGTCACTGCGGCTCTCACGTGCAAGGCTTTCCCCCACCAGTGAGGCTCCTTGCTCCAAGGGGGCGTGGACGCTCTCCACAGGCCCTCACTTCCCTGCAGACGGGTGTGGGAGTGAGGATTTTCCCAGTGATGCTGCCCATAACTCCCATCGTGTCCCACCAAGGTCCATGGCCCCCAAAGAGGAAACCAGTGTGTCCTGGGCATCTGCCCTTCTTGTCCCTGTGGAGGCAGTGAGATCACCGCTAGTCCATGGGACGGTATGATTTTCATGGCCTTCCTTGGCCATGCTAGGAAGCTCCTCAACCTTCCCCCAAACAACCTGCCATTGCCAACAAAAGCAAAAACAAAACCCCAAATCAGAGAAAACCACATCCCATCACATGGTTGTGGAGAACTGGCCAAGAGAAGATGACAAGGGAGAGGTAGTGAATAAGCTGTTCCATGAGTATCCTTATAAAACAGAACTTTCCTACGACGTAGCGGGGAATTGTATTAGTCAGGGCCTCCAGAGAGACCGAGCCCACAGGACCTGTGTGTTTGTGTGTGTGTGGATATACATGTCTATAGAAATACACAGAGAGGAGTTGATGTTGCAGGCTGAGTCCAGAGGCATTCTAAAGGCAGAATTCCTTTCTCTTCAGGGCATCTTAGTCTTTTCTGTTAAGGCCTTCAACTGATTAGATGAGGCCCACCACACTATGGAGAGTAATCTGCTTTACTCAAAGTCTCCTGATTTAAATATTAGTTACATCTAAAACATACCTTCCCAGATACACCTAGACTGTTGTTTGACCAAATATCTGGGTACCATGGCCCAGCCAAGTGGACACACAAAATTACTCACACAGAGCTATCAGTTCTAACAATACTCCACAGTGGGCCAGCCCCTCTGTACCTGCCACTGTACACCTGGCTGGAGAGAGGAGCCAGCCCATCAAATGGCTGATGGGACTTCAGGACACCCAGCAAATAGCCTCACTTTGTTCCCAAGAATTGAGGGAACCTGCCATCTGTTAATCCCTCCAAGGTCATAATGAGGGCCATTGTGATGCTGTAACAGTGACAGTGTGTTTCAACGCTCCGAGACACATGGGCAGAAGGGTAGGAATGAATTTATGAGAAGAGCAGTGCAGAGTGTTTGAAGTCATGACTGCGTTGGACAACCTGGGATCTACAACCCCTACTCATGGAAAGACTCCAGACCCAGGGGCTTAGACTTGACATGTGGCCTGGGGTTGGTGCCACCCTCTCTCTGCACCCCATGTAAGGTGCAGACATTAGTTAACTCTAGGATAGTGACCTACTTGGTCACCTCAGCTGCTCCAAAACGTGCTAATGCAGACTCAGCCCAGCAGCAATGACATTCATTTGGGGTTCTTTTCCTTCCTAAAGAAGTAGAGTAAAAGTAATAATCATAATCACTAACACAACTTGTATTTTAATGTCTTCTAACCACAAAAAGGCAACAAGTCAACAGATTCACCTTTGCTCCCTGTGTCATCTAAGAAAAGCGTGTCAGCATGCTCCTAGGAAGAGACATTCCAAATTGTAGGACATCCCAGTGGAGTGGGTGGATCTGGAACCCCAGCTTCTTGCCGATGTGGGGCCAGCTGTGCACCCACCGTGTGATTTCATGGACCCACTAACAGTCACCTGACCCGTGAGCCACGTTGGGGGTGTTGTTGATGGAGATGCAGGGACAGTGTTTCTGGCTATCACGACAGTCGTGGAAATGCAGATGGTGGTGGCGGCAGCATCGATGTTGACTGGGATGCCTGTGAGTAAAGATGGGTGAGGATGGCATGAGAAAATACTTGGGACACGCTCGGC